AAGATAATGTCTCCAAATCTTCAAGGTAAAGATGATAGCTGTTAATTCCAAATCATGTGTAGGGTAATTCTTCTCATGAGGTTTCAACTATCTCGAAGCGTAAGCAATCACCCTACCGTGTTGCATTAATACATAACCCAAACCATTCAGAGAAGCATCACTATAAATCTCATAATTACCGCTATCATTTGGAAGTGCATGAGTGAGATAGTACTTCAACAGTTGGAAACTTTGCTCACATTTATTATCCTACTCAAACTTAACATCTTTTCGAGTCAACCTCGTTAATGGCAAAGCAATCACTGAAAAATCCTTAACGAACCGTCTATTGTAGCCTGCTATGAAAAGAAAACTCCGTACCTCGGTGACGGTTCGAGGTTACTCCCAATTCTCCACAGCTGCTACTTTCTGAGAATCCACTTGAATGCCTTGAGCAGAAATGACATGTCCCAAAAATGCCACTTGATTCAACCATAATTCACATTTGCTAAACTTAGCATATAGTTGGTGTTCCCTCAAACTGCTCAACACCAACTTCATATGTCTAGCATGCTTAGCCTTAGACTTAGAGTATACCAGAATGTCGTCAATGAAAACAATAACAAACCTGTCTAAATATGGCTGGAATACTCGATTCATCAAATCCATAAAAGCTGCTGGTGCATTAGTTAACCCGAATGGCATTACAAGAAACTCATAATGACCATATCGAGTCCTGAATGCGGTTTTAAGGACATCTTCATTTTTAATCTTCAACTGATAGTATCCCGACCTCAAGTCAATCTTAGAAAATACACAGGCACCTCTAAGTTGATCAAATAAATCATCTATACAAGGCAATGGATAACGGTTTTTAATGGTTACCCGATTCAATTGCCTGTAATCAATGCACAGCCTCAAGGTTCCATTTTTCTTCCTCACAAATAAAACTGGAGCTCCCCAAGGTGAAGTACTCGGCTGAATAAAACATTTATCCACTAACTCTTGCAACTGGACTTTCAATTCCCTTAATTCAACATGAGCCATTCTATAAGGAGTTAAGGATATGAGATTCGTACCTGGAAGCAGATCAATAACAAACTCCACTTCTCTATCTAGCGACAATCTAGGCAAATCCTCAGGGAATACATCCGGAAAATATATGACCACCCGAACATCCTCCAAACTACTAGGAGCATCATCATTCAACACCACATGAGCCAAATATCCCTGACAACCTTTCGACACAATCTCTTTGCTTTCATGGCTGAAATAATACCATGCCTCACCCTACTAGGTTCTCCTACAAATGTAACTTCAGGTAATCCAGGACAATAAAATGTGACTGTTTTTCCATAACAATCTATCTTGGTACGATTATAGTACAGCCAATCAGTGCCCAAAATCACATCAAAATCCATAATATCCAATGGCATAAGATTAGTCGGCATAATAATATCCTCTACTATCACTGGACATCCTGGATATACCTGATCCACAAAACATCTATCTCCTCTAGGCATAGAAAATTCTAAATTATATCCTAGAAGTGTAGGATGAGGTTGTGTCACTTGAGCAAATGTATGAGAAATAACATAATGTGTAGCACCACAATCAATCAATACTCTAGCAAAATGACCAACATTATTCAATGTACCCATAATTAAATTTGGATTATTCTGGGCATCTTACAGTGACATGTTATGGATACGTGCCTGGTTCTGCTGTCGTCCACTGCGACCTGTGTTGGCATGAATACCACGTCTCTGCCTCTGCTGACCCGACTGCCTCGAAGATCATCCACTACTAGCAGCAATCTCTCCCTGCTGGGGCTATCCCCCTTGATACCACTAAGATCCTCCGACTGAATGTTGCTGATAAGACATAGATCCTTCCTGATACTGAGGATACCCACTCTAATACTGAGGATCCTGAGAGTACTACTGCTGTCCTGAGGTGTAGGGAGCGGCGTCGCCCTGATAGTGGTAGACATCTCCTCGTCCAGTCTGAGAATAACCACTATATCCTGAAGCTTGCTGGGTCGGTACAGGTGGTAGGAAAGAAGGTTGTTGGGGTCTCTGCTGATTCTGAGGGCATTAGGCAGCCCTATGACCCATCTATCCACAAGTAAAACAACCATTGATGCCTCTCCTACACTCCCCAAAATACCGATTATTACACATGCTGCATAAGGGAGCACCAGATCCACCTGAACCACCAAAATCTCTCTGCCTCTAGAACCTAAGGCCTCCAGTAAATCTACCACATATCCTCTGCATATTAGTACTCACTCATTCAGTGGAAGAGCTGGAACTGCCACCACTCCTCTTAAAGTTCTGGGTCTTGCGGGGTCCCTGAAATGCTTGCCCTTTTCCTTTGTCATCTCGTCTCTAGCCCCCATTCTTTCCCTCCTCATCCTCACTTTCACTAGGCAGGTTCTCTGAGGCCTCAATCCTCAATAGAATCTCATAAAACTCCTGGTAAGAAACACAGTGAGTCGATGTCGCTATGGAACGCCATTTCTTATTAGTACCCAAGCTAAAACGGCGAAGCATCTCTACCGGATTAGCAGCAACCTCCGGATCATATCTCGACAGATCAGTAAACATCCTGTAATACTCATTAGTTGACATCTTTCTTTGCCTCAGATGAGTAAACTCTTGTTTCTTAAGATATGAGGAATGATCATTTTCCGAAACAGCTCCTTAAACACTCCCTAGTCCACAATCTCTTCTGGGGTCAATTGGTAAGACTCCTATCTCCACCAGGATGCAGGTTGTTCTCCCAAAAACCAGGTAGTTGTCTCGACCCACCTATCAGAAGAAAGATCCCCCTGACTCTGCATCACCTGAAAAGTCTTCTCCACATGATTCAGCCATTTTTTCTGCCCCCTCATGACCTTCATTTCCAATGAAGTGAGTCAACTTCAGATTATGAATTGTCTCAAGAGGTGTCATCTGGGAGTACAGAATGTTGTCTGAATGGCGGAAACTATAGCTTCCCCTAATTGAGCAATATCAGGGAAACTAGATTTAGCTGATTGACGGGCCTCTCTACGAGGCGGCATCTCACATAAGATATCAAAAGGATTAGAATATTCAAGAATTATATAGGACTACTAAACCTAGGCTCTGATACCAAACTGACACACCCCGACCGAAATCAAGGCATGCTGGCCGTCACGTGAAAGTGACGTAGCCATGTGCACAGTGCGGAAGCAATAAAGGTAAGAATTATACGAATAATTAAAAACCACATTACTAAAGTGCACTACTAAACAGGGAGTGATAGGAGTTAGTTACAACAGTAAACACTCTTACGCAGAGCATATTAAGTCTAGGTGCAGTCCAATAGGATAAGTACTAATAATACAGTACCAGAAATGTCCTACTATTATTTAGATAGGTCATAACCACCGACATCCTCAAGCCACCAATAGCAAACTTACTTAAAACCTGGAGGGGCGCAAAACAGAAAATGTGAATGGGCAAAAACAAATGTTTTACAAAATCATTTTCTTTATCAACATATCTAACCCCTCGCTGTAAAACATGTATAATTTTTCCCAGAATCAGAATATAAGCATATGCATATATATATATCTGAAATCATAACAATTCAATTCATGCTTCACATAATCATATTCATATGTATGCCATGCCAAAATATAACAAAGTAAACAATCTAGGTAAGAATGATTTCATAGAAATATGATATGTTAGCCGGAACCCCTGTGGTAGTCTGTACGGCTGAATTCATAGCTCAAAAGTCAATCTAGCCGGAGTCACTATAATGACCTATACGGCAATATACTGCACATAAGTCGGAACCACTAAAAAAGTCTGTACGACAAGATTGGGTGTAATATAATTATGCTCAATTCTATTCTCTTATAAAAGTCGGGCGATAAATCGCTAGTCACCTACGAGTCAGAACCATAAATAAGGTCTGTACGACAAGACTGTGCACTTAAGTTGGATCTAATATGAGCATATAGTGCTGGAGGTGACATAAATAAACAGGCATGTACTTCATATCTCTGGCTAAATCACAATCACTCTAGGTGCAGTTTTATGAGCTCAACATTATTCAATCATATATCACATCATCGATGATTCATATAATCAAACATAACTTACCTGAACTTACATGTGCCTCCATAGCACCACATTTATATATAAATGCAACCATGAAATGCATATTCAGAATATAAAAGCATTTGGCATATTATTTTAAAGCATACTTTCCTTAAAAATTGCATTTCTGGGAAATATATCAAGTATATAAATATATACTGAAACAAAAGCCCACTCACTGGTATGTCGACGAGTCGTAACCCCCGAGTTGCCCGTGGATACGCTCGTCCTCGGGATAAGTCTCACCTATATGCGAATTAACTATAAAAACGTTATTTTAAAGCACATAGGCAAAACTAGCTAATAACTTCTCATACATAGCTCAAAATGGGTATATGAATATACCACAATGACCTACACAACCTCACAAACATCGTGAAATTTTTAAAATAATTTTTCTACGGCTCATGCGTCGGGGAAGGCACGGCCTCATGCACATCACCTTCAACCTCCAGACGCCGGAACAGTGTCGCCAACGCCGGATTCTGGGCAGACCTGCAACTGCCTCTTTCTCGCTCGTTTTTGCACCATTTTTTACAAAATTTTCACCAAAATGTCATAAATCACGAGAGGAAGAAGATTATACCTCTTGGGAGCTTCAAATCCCTTAAAAACGCGTCGGGAGAATCCTACCAAAACCGGCCACCTTCGAACCTCGTGATCCCGATGTCAAAACCGAGCCAACAAAGCACTCCGAGCTTCGTGAGAACCTCCTAGAGCTCGCTGTGAGCTTGGATTGTCCTAAAACATAACCATTCGAAAGTTCATGAATAGTGCTTAACTCGGAGCTTGGGTTTTCAACGTGATATCGAACGAGTTCTTACCTGAAATGGGTACCTTTGCACTCGTATGGTCTTCACGAACACAATGGTACCAGTTTCTTCCTCGATCTGTGAAGATTTGGCTTGGTTCAAGGTTGTCCGTACGGATGAGAGGGAAAAGAGAGTGAGTCCGAGAGAGAGTACGTGAGAGAAGAGAGAGAAAGGATATGGATGTGTGTGTGGTTCCAAAATGTACACCAATCAAAACTCTTTAATCTTTTAGCTCTAATTGGGTCCAATTAGTTAGGGATAAAACTAATTGACCCAATTTCTTAACCCAAAATACAAACACACACCCGACGCTCAAGGGTAAATTCATCTTTTCACAACCATGATAATTATTTCTCGGGTCGGGCTGTGACAGGTGTACTTTTTATCCATTTATAACCAAGTGTTCATACACAATCGCAGGTAGTTGAAAACATTGGTTTTGACATATTATACATGGGCAAATGATCTTATCTCGATTTCCTCCATATTCTTTAGCTACTTGTACAAACTTTTGTGCACCCTCTCTGTATTCTGTTGATGGTCTGTATTATAAATAAATCTTAATCACTTTAAACAGACCCTAGTTATCAATGTCAAAAATGAAATTCATTGAGGCAGATAATATACCTCGAAAATGTTAGCCAATCTTTGTCCATTGCAATCAGATAGTTGACAATGATCGTTTCCAACAATGCTTCTCAAAAGTAATCCTAAAATAATAATTTAATCAGAAATTAACACTGAAAATAAATAAAAAACACAAAAAAAAAATTGAAATTTCGTACCTCTAAATTTCTGGGTGTTTACTGTGAATCCAATTGAGAACTAAGGGCGCAGATTGCGAGAGGAGAAGACGAAGAGGGAGGAAGCACGGGTTTGTTTTGGCGATGAATTGGAAAAGCACGTCAATTTCCAAAATAAAAAAGGGAAATCTAATGATCAAATTCAAGAAATATTCAATCTCACAACAATTTTAAGCCAATCAGTTATGCACCAAATCAAATTTTATGAAATTCTAGCAAAATACAACCCCAATAGAACACAAATGGACCATAAAAAAATACGAAATATCAACAACTAAATTCGATAAAGTAACAAACCACAGCGAAAAATCAAATATTTGGCTTCTGGGTAGTTGAGAAGAAGTGAGATTTAATTACCTCTTGAAGGCTAAAGAAATTGGGTACAGGATGAGGGGGCGAGAAGATCGTAAAGCAGAGATCGAAAAGATAAGGAAGCAGGGATCGGAAGGATCACGAAGCAGCGATGGAAGAGATCGATGCGGAGTGTAGGACGCATGATCGAAATCGCCAACCCGTTGCAGAGCAGCTGAGAATTCTGTTGTTACTGTGCAACAAAGAGAAAAAGCGCCTGATATGGAAAACCAAACGGAGGGCATTTTCGTCCGCGCATTCTCCGTAAACAGTGCAAGCTGGTTTGGGTTTTATTAGTATAGGAATACTATCCTCCAAAATATTAAAAATAAAAAAAAAACAAAATCCACCACAGGCCGATGCCGTGGTGAATTTTCAAAAGGCTGTGTGGTTGTTTGAAGTAACCATAACGAGTATATCGCGTGGTGGTTTTGATATTTCATTACGGGATTAAAAATCGTTGTAAATTATTTACTTTTAATAACGGGCCAGAATTTGACCGTGGTGAATTAATGTTATCTACCATGATCTACATGTAACCGTGGTAATTGAATAGTTTCTACCACGAGCTGTTGATGCCCGTGATGGAATTGATGTGGTAAATATGCTGTTATGTACTAGTGTGTTTTGGTTGTTTTGGGCTGTGTTGGTTTGAACATGAGTTATGCTAAATTTTGGGCTATTTCAACATATATTGCTATTTTAAACACTGCCTTAAATCGTGAATTAGATAACCTTTGTAAGCAATCCCCTATATCATTAATAATTGGTCCCAACGGAGAGAAATCTTCCTCCTTCTTTTGCATGGCTGCCATGGCCATGATAGAGTATCCCTCAATATGCACCCCCCATCTCCAGCAATATGGTCTTTCACAAGCATCACTGCCCTTTGCGCAGCCAACAACTCTGCGTGCAACGGTGATGACACCCCAACAGTCTGACCGGAATATGCAGCCAAAATATCACCACTACAGTTCCTGTAATCACACCCACCACCTCTTTTCGTTCTTTCCTCCCACGCTCCATCAAAATTACCTTTAACCCATCCTAATTCTGGTTTCTGCCACGACTGCTTCCTTCGACTTTGTTTCACTGGCCGTGCATTCTGCCACTTCTGAAACTCTACCAACCAAGCTTCAGCATGAACTCCAATTTAATTTAAGTTTTTTATTTATATATTTTATTAAAAAATTATTGGAAAATAAATTGGAAGTCAATCATAAACCACCCACTAATGGGGGTTTTCTATTTTTGTTATTTTTTTCCCTAAATTTTTAATGTTTAAATCATCCAAAATCAAAATGTGTTGGATTTTTTTTTTTACCAAGCGATATTATCTACACTATGTTATGAGAGTGGGAGAGTAGGCTAAGCCTCACAATAGGTTAACAATAATATGGTTCAAATTCGTCTTTGGCTAACTCTTTTTAATACAATTGCAATTTTTGAATTCTTTAGGGACAATTTATGGTATTTGAATGCTTCACCATTTTGGGTGCTCCTTTTGTATATAGATAATGGACGTTTGCACCATGGTTACACATAGTTCTACGTGGTATAGGTTTGCCTTTCTGCTGCACAAACCCAAAACCCTAGCTTTCCTTTCTTCTCTCCAACCACGTACGTTCCTCCTCTCAAAACCCTAACCTTCACTTCCTCTATTAATGTAAGGCAATGACTATATATAGTTGCGAGTTTGAAACTTGTTTATGATCATCAATTAATCCTTATTCCATGAGGAAGAATATTATGCTGTTGTAGCATCATTAAGGATTCAACACCCTCTATGTGTAATCTTGTGTAAAACATGAAATTATCTAATTATTTTCTAAAAAGATGGTTAAGAATCAATACTTTGAGACCAATTTAGAAAAGGGACAATAAACAAAAAGTTAACACTGTTGGACATAAGTCAAGTTAGAATTCCAGAAGGGGTGCTTTGTTCTGCGTTCTTTCTGAACTCTCAGACTTCATCTGAAATGATGAGTCTTTTCATAATTAATTATATTAAATATAATATATATATATATATTAAATATATATTAATTACTAATTAATTAGTGCACCTCAAAGTCTAACCCCAAGGGTGTGCCCAATTTTATTCTCCAATGCCTATTACTCCAATTACTTTCTATAAGGGACAAAGCCTTATAAAGTGATGAAAGCTTTTGGAAATGGTCAATGTGGGACAAAGAAATTTCTACTCAAACTCAAATTTCCAACAAACACTAGATCACATATGTATATATTAATAGATTCGTTGATTATTAACTCAATGGCTAGCCCAGGAAACAGGGAACATCAGTTTTTATATCCTAATTACGCCTCTCCTTCCGGAGCTCTTTCATGATGCATTTGCTAAAACATTATCTATAAATCTTCAGTTTTCAAGAGGTAAAGCTAGCTAGCTAGCTACTCAGTATAACAAATCCTGTAGTCTCTGCCATACCGTTGAAGTCTCTACTCCAACTCTAGAAATTTTGACCTACAAAGAAGCATCAAAAATAAAATTGATAAGTCTGTTTCATAATGAACTTAATTGTTTTAGTACATTTTTTTAAGATTAGATGATATTAGCTTCTCGGATGATTGTTTTAGTACCTGAGCATGCACCGAGTGGAAAACTTTATCGCCTACAGTGGAAAAGCTAGCGCTGACAACTTCAGCTCCTTGTTCCTCAAGAACACGGATGACTTCATAAAACATGAAGTTCTTATTCAACCCACTAATCAGCATAACTTCTATGCAGGAACCCGAGTCTCGTAATTCAAGGACTGGTAATCTTGATCCCGTCATTACGGCATTTTCGGCAGCAATAGCACTAATGTCAGAATTAGAACTGCCTAATTGTGACCTCATTGCTTTCTCCTTCCTCTCCTTCAAATTCTCTATTCTCTCTCTCAGTTGCTTTATATAGGATACCGCAGTATCAAGTTGATTTTGCTTTGACACGGTATCCTGATCAATGGGAGAAAGGCATATTACAATTAATAAAGCCGATAATGAAATTTGGTTTTTATTGAAATATATTTAGTTAAGGAGTAGCGTTCTCTTGTCCTAAATATTTGATATGTTACATTACTAGATTATTGAATAGGTTCTTTAGATATAGACCCTTGAAATTCATATTTTTCAAACAAAAATCCACTTAATTTTAAACATTCAAATAAAACCCAAATTTCAAATAGACTGTCATGTAGACAAATATATAACCAACTATTACAACTCATTTACAATTTATGCCACAAAATCCTAATTTGGTCAATAAATGTTATTACTCATCCTAATTATTATGAGCAATTAAATCCATATGGATATTTTACTACAAATATTAGTAACATATAAATTAATTTACCGTATTAAAAAATAGACATATCTTGTACGAAAAATAATTGTGACGACCCGTCCCTAATTTTCCTGTGTAATTTCTCCCTGAGTATGTGTATTAACGGTTATGCCTTTATTGGCAAGTGGCGTGGACGTATTCTTATCGCTTTCATTTTATTTCTCGCTATTGCATTTAAATTGTACACGTCGTTACGGGTGTACGTAAATTTTTATCAGTGTGAAAACACTATCCCAGATAGATTTTCGATACTCTTTTCAGTAGAAAATCTAAAACCCTATCCCTAGCTTTTCCCTAGCCCATCCTGTGCACCCTCCTCCATCATTCCTCTCTCTCACCAATCTCATCTCTCCCTCATTTATGTCCCCCAATCAGAAAAGAGAAAAATGAACCTTCTCTCTCTCTCCTGTATGCTCTCTTCTCTGCAAAACCCTCAAACGAGCTGCTAAGCTCACAGATCGAACCCGAAAACCACTCCATTGTACTCTCCTCCTCTTCACGAACTCAACCATGTTCTTGAAACCTAGTTTAGACGAGTTTTGACTCGTTAACTCGTGAGGTCCGAACTCAGGCACACTGAGTTCGATGTATTTTTGAATGAGTTAGGATGATTTGAAGCTTGGGAAGGCTTCTTCACAACTTTTTGAAGGTCCTAGGCTTGTTTTGGAAGAAGGTCGACGTGAAACGATTGAGTTTCGAAGAGTTCACTTTTGGCAGAAACTTTCGAGGTTTTTTTCGGCGACCTCCGTCCACTTTTTGGACTCCAAACAGGTATAACGCGATCCTTCACTTCACTAGCTTCAAATCCATATATAGTACGTCAAAAATGGTTGAGAAATGAAGAAGAATAGTGAATTTAAAATTTTTCCAGAAATTCGGCGAAAGATCGAGTTGCAGATGGCGGCGACAGCGAGGGTGATCGGAGAAGGTGATGGAATATTTCCTCAGAGTTGACGGAATATTCCTAACGGACGTCAGGCACTGGCCTGCGCGTCGGGCGCTTCTGGCCGTGCCCTTGACGGCGTGTGGGGGCACGTGAGTCATCCAAAAAATTTTCTGAAAATTTGGGGATGTTCATGATGTCAAGTAGGTCACGGTGGTATATTTAAACCCTAGGTTTGAGCAAACTATGGGTGTTTTATTTAAGTTTCTGTATATGTGCTTTAATTAATTATATTTTAGTTATTTCACATATAGGGGAAACATATCCCGAGGACGTTTGAGGCCAAGCTAGGTTCGGGGGTTATGACCCAGCGACGTACTTGTGAGTGGGCAGTTGTTTTATACCTATACATATTTATAGTTTCTATAAATGTGTATTTACTTCAGTTTGCGTATATATATATATATATATTGCCAAATAATTAATAACTGCTATATAATTGTGATAATTGCTGCTTTATGGTTAAGATATTACTGTCATGACATTCATACATATTTGTACATGCTCATCTTGCTGCACTGGTGTTAGTACTCGCCTTAGGGCCAGGGCCAGTCCTTCATGTGTATGTTCACATCACACCGTTCGCTTGTCTTGGATCCAAGTTAGGTGCCAGTCATGTCGGGTAGATTGCATTAGGCAATCTGACTTGTATGTGACCGTGCTTCTGCACCAGTCTTCACGTAATCGTAGTACTAGAGTGTTTGTACCATACTTGACCAATCCTGAAACTACTGAGCACCAGTCAACGTTATACCGTCAAGGACCCAGAAGAGTTTCCCTCCAACTAAGAGGCCAATCACAACGCAACATGTGTCGGCATCAGAAGCCAATCATAGCGCGACACGTGTCAACATCAGAAGTCAATCATAACACGACACGTGTCAACGTCAGAATGAAACTAGAAACTCTCTTCTATAAATAGAGATCATTCTCTCACAGTATTTGCTAATGTCATTTGTACTAAATCGTTCACTAGTACTCACTAAAGAAGAGCTTGAACCTATGTACTTGTGTAAACCCTTCACAATTAATGAGAACTCCTCTACTCTGTGGATGTAGCTAATCTGGGTGAACCACGTACATCTTGTGTTTGCTTCCCTGTCTCTATCCATTTACTTACTTATCCACACTAGTGACCGGAGCAATCTAGCGAAGGTCACAAACTTAACACTTTCTGTTGTACCAAAGTCCTCGCTGATTTTGTGCATCAACATTTGGCGCCGTCTGTGGGAAACGACACTTATTCCCACTCTCTTCAGCTTTGTCAAGGTGGTTTCCACCATTCGTACACTCTCTTTTGACCAGGCATCCCTCTCCAACATGGGGAGCGAAGGAAGCCACAACACATAGAATGACACCCCTCTTGCACCTAGTGCAAAGCAACGAAAGAAGGAATGAAAGAAGGTTGCTCTTCAAGCTAAAGTCGATGAGCTAGAAGCTTAGAACAATAAGATAGCAATGAAGAATGAGGTCCTCCAGGAGCAGTATGAGAAGCTCTTTGAGACGCTCCACAAAACTAGGCGTACTCAAACACGTGAACTCGTTGTCCATGTGGACATCAACCATCATCTGGGTGCCCCCAACACGGAGGGTCACCTCCCTTTGACATAGGTATCCCAGATGAGGAGCGAGCTAATCATCAAAACATTGATCAACATGAGACTTCTCTCAACCCAAATGTTTCGACCTGAAGTAGGAGAAGTGGAGGAAGACACCTTATTGCAGAAGGGTTGGAAGGATCGAAAGCCGTTTATCGCGACTGCCGAGGCTTCCTAAAGTAACATCGAGAGAATCCCCTCCACATATGCTCGAAGATCAATGACCCAAGGGTTTCTGAAAGACTCAGTCTCATCCCACGACCCAGGCCAGCTGCCAATCTAGAGAAGGAACGACAGGTTCTAAAAGAACATGAAGGTACAAGGGACTTTGAGGTATTCCAACAAACTTGCCCTAGAAGTCAGTACAGCGAGTCCAAGGAAAAACTACAGGCTCTTACTCAAACTTTCCTACTTCCAAGAGGCGATGGAGACTTACGAAAGAAAATTCCAGTGGTACACGACTTCACTCAGGACTCCCTTGTCCTACAGCTCCTTGAGGAAGTAAACAAGTTGAAGGTCGAAAGTCAGGCCGAGATACCTAACTGGAACTAACCGAGGCATGGCCCTCTCACAAGGAAGATCCTCGACACCCCCATCAAGCGAAGACAAAACAAAAGCTTGGTTTACAACTTTATACTGGAAGGAATGATCCAATTGAACACCTTAACCTCTTTGAGTCTACCATGGCATATCGGATGCACACCGACAAAGAGCGATGTCTTCTCTTCCCCTCCACCCTCTCTAGCGGAGCTCAAAACTGGTATTGCCGTCTTCCACCTGAGACAGTAGACTCATTTGAGGAACTGAGGAAACTGTTTGTCTCTCAACACATCTTCCAGACCGATCACTTGCATTCTGCAAATGACTTGTACATTATTCGCCATAAGTCGAACGAGTCACTACGAGAGTATGCCGATCTCTTCAGCTATAAGTATTCTCACTGCGCTGAGGCAGATGACAAGACCACCATCAAGGCCTTCACGGCAGGCCTACGTGATTGTTTCTTTAAGTACATGATCAATGCTAACACTTGGAAGACTTACTCTGAGGTGATGGCACAGGCTTATAACCACGCCTCCGCCGAAGCAAGGACATACCAAGGGAACCCTCATATGGTTAACCCTTATCAACAAGTGGGAAGTGGAAGTCAAGTTTTACCAAGTGAGGAGATCTTGGCCATTCAGACACCCATTGCATCATCTCCTGCCTCATTTAGCTACTCGCTAAGTCACCAAACGTATCTGTCTCTTGGTAAGAGGAATGAGTTTTACTCTCAGCAAGCCCATTACAACAAGAAGGATAAAAGTTCGTATCAAGACACCAGGGGTGAACATACCATCGACTATTATGACTATGAAGCCAAGCCTCACTCTTTCAAAGTGGAGGACTAGGTACTAAAGGAAATGCTATTATAAGAAGGCATACACATTACAAATGTTTTGACTCTCAACCGCTTGAGATCTTTTGTCACACAAGCCATTCGGCGAAGGTCAAAAACTTAACATTTTCTTTTGTACCAAAGTCCTCGTTGATTTTGTGCATCAACATAGAGCATATTGATTACACCCAGTCCTGTTCGTGTCAGAAATTATCTGTTCGAACTTGTATGTCAGCTTAGATGGATAAGCACTTAGCTATACCTGATTATCACATGATTATATTATTGTGGCATTTCATACATCATGATTTGGCATAATTCTAATTATTATACTACTATAATGTTGTTGATTTATTGGTTACACACCTACTTAGTATATTCGAAAATAAAGGATTTCGTATAAGCATTGTTTTGTTGACCCACTCAACTTTGTTTTTCGCCCTTCCAGGACCTAGATAGTTGTACTCTTTGTGGCACTCGAGGAATCCCGGCGGTTCTAACTTTCTCTTCTATTTAGACGTACGAACTTATCACTGTGGTGTAATAAGTGTACTTTAACTACTTTGACTACTACTATGTAGTCTCACTGTCTATTACGCTCTGAATAATTGTAGTGGGTTCGTCCTACGAATGCGCACTCATTCCCTTTTATCATTTAGTATAATTAGTTTTAATTTTATTCACTTTTTGCATCACTTACCCTTATGGTTACGTCACCTCGGTGATGGTTAGCATGCTTTGACCTTTCCAGGTCGGGGTGTGTCAAAAATAATATTGTTTGAATCATGTAATTACCTACATATAAATTAATTTACCTAATTTACCTACATTTAAATTAATTTACCTATTCCAAAAAAATAGTGATATGGGATAATGTTTGAATGTTGTGGGTTTGTGCTTGTAGGCAATTAAATAAACTTGAAATCTAATGCACATAAATCATGTAGGTAAATTAGACCATTTTGGAAGTAAATTAGACCCTTTAAATTTTGGTTTGATGGAATAGGTAAATTAGACTATTTTGTAGGTAAAAATTGCGTGGAACATATAGCTTTTGTTTTGTGCACTAGGGATTGTAGTACATATGCAATAGCGGAAGCTGTTTTAGGTTAATTTATTGTTGTGTTGGTAGGTAAATTAACTTGTATATTTAACTCACAAAATTATGGCATTAATATTATTATTTTTCAATCCGCACCTTATAACAATTTGAAAATTAATACATTAAATATACAATGAAATATTTTGTAAAATAAATATAATTAATTAAATGGATATAACGAGTAACTAATCCAAACCTCAATCCAAGTATTAATAGGGGTAGTTTAGGCATTCAAAAAACACACAATTTGAAAAGTCAAACTTAATTAAAGAATTTGCTTAGTTAGAGCCTAGTCAATGGGCTTTAGACCAACTCCAACCCTGGCCTATAATCTAGTTTCCCCTTCTATGTATTAAGGGTAAAAATATAATACAGTTAGTAATATAGTTAGGTAGTTAGTATTTGGTTAAAGTAGTTAGGATTTCTATATAAAAAGTATGTATAATCTTCATTTGATCAGTTAATACAAAATATATTTCTCTCTCTAAACTCTCTCTCTCTCTCATATCTCTCTGTTCATCTTTCTGTTCATCCTTTCTCCTTGTTTTTCCCTTCAATTCACAACCATTGCAATGTAGTTAACATTTAATCAGAGCCACCATGCTCACGCCATTGATTCTGGTGGTTGCATTTCTCATTATTTTTCTTTTGTTTCTAGCATAGTTTCTCTCCAAATTTCCATTAGTTTTTTCGGTGCTTCCACGAGATTGGGTTGCTTTTCTGCCATTGTTGGGATCTCCTCTTCAATGTTTTTTATGGGATTCTTGGGATCAACAATGGAGGAAGACTCCCATTTATTCAACTCCAGCAACTATTTTCCTACTATCCTCACATATCAATAGGAGGTGGTAGCAATGGAGGTGCCTTTCTTGGTGTAGGTGTTGGAAGATTAACCCCATAATCATATCCAAACCTCAGCTCACGATTGTAATCTGACTCTATGATGGCCCACATGTCCTCAAATATTCTGGATAACTACTCTGCCATTACATGAACATCCTACCCTGGGTTTGCTCTACTTTCCTTCAAATCGTCCTTCGAAGCATGCTGGGTTTGCTGGGTGTAAGCCATTGGTGGGTTGGATTGGATATGAACCCGGTCAACTTCGAGAAGAACAACGAGCTCCTGCGATGGGTTCTGGTTTGCTTCCTCAGCGTTCTTTAGGTCAAGATTGAAGTTCTTATCAGTGTGATATTTGGGGTATTTAGATTCAATATTGATCATTATTACTTTCGATGTGTTATCTTGAATGGTTACTAATCTCCGATGTGTTTTTCTGGCCTTTTTTTGCTTAAGAACTAAAGATTCAGGTTTCATCTTTCTTTATGCACTCCAATTGTTTGTTTGATTGTCTCAGTGAGCAATTCTGTGTTAATTCTTGTATTAAGGTCGATAGCCAGTTACTGATTTAGAAGAATATGAAGGCTGATTGCCATTTCTTCTAAGTGAAAGATTGATTCTTTAATTGAATATTGTTGGGTATTTTACACTCAAGAAGGATGATTGCCAAGATTGTACTATCATTACCTGATTGATCAGCAAATGAAGGCCAATTGCCATTGCTGAAAGATTGGTTCTTTAATTGTTTGTTGGGATAGAGAGGCCGATAGCCATTTCCCTTTTATGTTTCCTCCACAAGGCCGATAGCCGGAGTGAAAAGTTCTGTTTCAAGTATTGTGTTACTTCTTAAAGGCCGATAGCCGGAGTAACGTTCTTGAAAAGTTTTGTTTGTTGTTATTGTGTGCAACTCCATTAAGGTCGATTGCCGGAGTGCAGTTCTTGTTCCCTTTCTTCATTGAAGGCCGATTGCCGAAGAGGGTTGTGTTTCTTAATTTCTGTGATTGTAAAGCTTGTTGTTTGACCATTCTCAATTGTGAACAAAGAAGGATTTGGTCAGAGTAATCAAAATGTCTGAAAATACAATGGAATCTGTGAAGATTTGAAGGTCTTCTAGGAATGTTGACTGTGAAATATTGGATACCTTATCGCAAAGAAAACAGTAGCTACAGCAGATATCAGTTTGAGGGGCTGAAATTCTTTGGGAAATTGATTGATGAGTATGAAATTGCACTGTCATCTGTTTCAACAAGTTGCTGCTGCTCATTGGAAGTATTTTGAACTTTATGTCCTCTGTGTTCTGTTTTTTTGGTTTCATAACAGTGATTGCAATTGTTCTTCCAATCTTAAACTGGGTTACCCCAGTTGAGATCGAGGGGGAGTATTAAGGGTAAAAATGTAATACAGTTAGTAATAGAGTTAGGTAGTTAGTATTTGGTTAAAGTAGTTAGGATTTCTATATAAACAGTATGTGTAATCTTCATTTGATCAGTTAATACAAAATCTATTTATCTCTCTAAACTCTCTCTCTCATATCTCTTTGTTCATCTTTCTGTTCATCCTTTCTCCTTGTTTTTCCCTTCAATTCACAACCATTGCAATGTAGTTAACACTATTCCCCCCTCCCCCCCCCCCGGGGGCCAAAAAAAATCCAACCTAACCCAAGTTTAAAATTGGACCTAAACCTAAAACAAAGCTAGAAATAGCCCAGGATTTAGCCCAGCAAATGGTGTGGGCACCACTAGCAGAACCCCACCCACGTGGGCATATTCCCCAAGATTTATTGAATCCAACAGCTGTGAACGAATATAATCAAATCTAACAGTAATAAAAAAAGATCTAATGGCCCAAAATTTAAATCCAACAACTAAAATAATTAAAAAAACAATTTAACTCAAAATTCACCAAAATTTAGTGATTTTTCAATATTTATCAAAATCTAAATATTTTTAGGTTAAAATGTTCATAAAATTAAATTAGGATATAGTGTACATAATTTTTTTTTAATTTACTTAAAAGAAAAAATTAGCCTAAATTTATTCTTTAATAATCTCGGGCTAAAAAATTTAGGCCATAAACGTTAGAGCAGAAAAGCTATTTTTGGGTTAAAACCTAAATTTTCTGAGCTAAAAATTTTAGGTTTTAGGCCAAGAGTTGGAGATGGTCTTAGTCAAGAAAACTAGAGAAGATGGGTTTTAGGTAAGGAAAATATAGTTTCAAAGGGTGAAAAGGATCCTCGTCGGAACCTTTTCTTAGGGATCCTAGGGATCCTAGGATCGTGACAGTTCACTGTACATCGTGCAGTCAGTTTTCACTAGGTACTGTTTATATTTAATTTTAAAATTTAAATTTTGAAATAATTTCTGACCGCACGATGTACGATAAACAGTCACAATCATGGGATCCCTAGGATCCCTAAGAAAAGGATCCAGCGATGATCCTTTTCCTTCAAAGGGTAATGTCAAATTTAAACTTCAGACTCACAAACTAACATGTCCTAAATGATATAGGAAAATTTTATCTATCATTATCTTTTTACACCTAATATTAATTCCTAAATTATCCTCACTTATGAAAACCCAATCCAATATAATTTCTGTTTACACCCCCAACAAAATCAATTATTCAAAAAATAAAAAACTAAGAAGCAGTCCCTCCATTGATGGTCCCTCTAGAACAATATGAAGAAAACCAAAAATAGGGTAAAACTCTTGAGAGAACGATGGAAATCGAAAGCTCCAATATTCATATATTTCACCAGATCAATCAATTATATAGAGAGCTAAAGTATATTTATACAACTGAATCTAAGTAAGTTGGACTAGGAATATGAATTTGGCTTACCTAACTAATACATACGTTTATGGTTTTGCTTATATACATACATATATATATATATACATATATATATATATATATATATATATATATTAACTGTTTCTGATCTCTACCTCCTTTTACAATAACCAAACCCTAATTTGTAACCAAAATTACATAGAGTAAAATACACAATTTATATCTAGAATTTAAGCTAGGTGTAGAGATAAAAAGAAAAGGGGTTCTAATAAAATTTCCCAATGATCCATATGTACCTTGGAGTTGGTGGTTTTGAAGTGTTGGGGAGGGACAAGTGAAGCAAGCTTGAAGCAGAGACTTTTCATTTGAATTCTTCTGTTTCTCTCCACTGTCTTCCTGTCCGGTTTGGAAGAAGACTCACTGCTACACTTCATCCTCTCTGTTTCTCTCTAAAAACAAGCAAACCTCACAAACCCAAAATCCAAGCAAGCATGAAAAGCAAGAAATAGAGAGCAAATTAAGGGAGAGGGTTTGGAAAGGAGGAGGAGCTTGACTGAAACTTGTACGCTTATATATAGTTGAAGCTTCGTGCCCAGCCGAAATAAGCACAGGCGAAATAAGCAAACCCGGGGGCCCGCCCTAGCATATATTCATGTGAAGCCGTTGGATTGTTTGCCGAATCTTGACCTTATGATACATTTTAAAAATACGTGTGTCTCTGTTCAAGTTCAAATTAGAAACAAGATTTTGCATTCACAAACAAAATACCTTAGATTATTGTATTTTGCTTCCAAAATATATTTTTGATTGTCTTTTCTAATACCGTAGCTTAGAAATTGGGTTATTTTATCAATAAATTAAACAAACGAAGCAGTGATCAATAAAAAATGTTGGAGAGATAGGTACCTCACGCATTAATATGTTATGTAGTAAAGCCCATAAAGCTGGGAGTAGACCTGTCATTCGTGTCGTGTTTTCTGTGTTCGTGTCGTTTTCGTGTCATACCCGATATCTTAACGGGTCATGTCGTGTAACACCTGTTAAAATAAACGGGTAAAATGACCCGACCCGAAATCGACTCGATAATATTCACAGGTAATATGACTTGATCCGTTACCCGTTAAGGAAAATATATTTTAAACCAATAAATAATCAAATGAAAAATATAATACTAAATAAGTATATACATACCATATTGTCACATCCAAAACATAAAAACGTATTTTTCTTTTAAGTATATTTTCACTTACCTAAAGTCTTTAATAGTTTTTTAATTAATGTAGAAGTGTAAAAAAATATAGAAAAAATATATAAATGCTTGTAATGACAAGCTTTACAACTTTCATGAAGAGCTTAACTTCGAAATTCGCCACTATAATCATATAAATCATAGATCAAAATTTAACCGTTGATTGTTGTTTACATTTAAGTTTTATTGTTCTCATCAAATTTTGTTGTTTTAGATTTTCTTTTTTGAAAAGTTGATCTATTAGAGGATGCAGGAAGATGAACGGTTTAGATCGTTAATATTATATTCAGAGTTTTACAGTTAGTGAAAATATTGCTTGATGTTTATAAAGTTTCTACAAACTATATGATATCGACTCATATTTCAGTTAACCGTAAATATCGAAACGTGATATCAAAGGTCTGAACCGTTCATCTTCTTACATCTGCCAGATGATCATGTTTTCAAAAAATAAAATTCTAAAAATAAAATTCAGTAAGAAGAATAAAGCGTAAATGACAATCAACGGTTAAATATAAATTTAAGGTTTATGAAATATAGTGTTAGATTTCGAAGCTGACCCCTTCATGAAAGTTGTAAAGTTTGTCACTATGAGTGATTGTATATTTTTTTTTTTTTACGTTTTTTACACTTCTACAATAATTATTATTAATTTTATTAATTTTTCCCTCAAATAAAAAACATTATTTATGTGGGTTTGGAGGATTTTAAAAATCTAAACAATAATGTAATTGTAACCATTATCTACTCGTGGAGGAATAATGATGAATCACGAGTGTTTATATATTCTTTCACATTTTTCATAATTGTATGTATGTCTTCTTAGTTCTTGCTTATACAAATACTATATTAGTTTATTTTAATTTTGGACAACAACATGTTAAGTAAAATTTATCCTAGTAATGATAATAATGAACTCTCATAATAAAAATAAATAATGACTAAAACTTTTTTTTTTAAACTTATATAGAATAATAATACAAAACTATACATTTAATATAGAATATATTGTATACACTAATATGACTATTGTATTTTATAATAAATCTTTTAGTAATTAAACTTTAAAATTATCAAAATAATTTTTTTCTTAATTGGTCGAAATGATGTAACATCCCACATCGCCCAAGGGAGTGATCCTTAAATGTATATTCCCATCCCTACCTAGCACGAGGCCTTTTGGGAGTTCACTGGCTTCGGGTTCCGTAGGAACTCCGAAGTTAAGCGAGAAGGAGGCCAAAGCACTCCCAAGATGGGTGACTCATTTGGAAGTTGCTCGTGAGTTCCCAAAAACAAAACCGTGAGGGAATGGTAAGCCCAAAGCGGACAATATCGTGCTACGGTGGTGGAACAGGCCTGGGATGTGGTGGACCCGGGCCGGGATGTGACAAATTGGTATCAGAGCCAATCCCTGGCCGAAAGTGTGCCAACGAGGACGTTCAGCCCCCTAAGGGGGTGGATTGTAACATCCCACATCGCCCAGGGGAGTGATCCTTAAATGTATATTCCCATCCCTACCTCTACCTAGCACGAGGCCTTTTGGGAGCTCACTGGCTTCGAGTTCCGTAGGAACTCCGAAGTTAAGCTAGAAGGAGGCCAAAGCACTCCTAGGATGGGTGACCCACTGGGAAGTTGCTCGTGAGTTCCCAAAAACAAAACCGTGAGGGAATGGTAAGCCCAAAGCGGACAATATCGTACTACGGTGATGGAACGGGCCCGGGATGTGACAAATAGGTTACCCACGTGTTACCAACGTGTATACTCGTTAAGAACCCATTATTAACGGGTTCTTAACGGGTCACCCGATAATGACTCGATAAGTTATCGTATTGATCTGAAACCCATTATTTTATTGTCGTGTCACCGTGTCATATCAGAAACTGCCGGGTCTATTGGATATAATGATCTTTATGCTCAATTAACTTAGGGATGTGATATCCACACACCTTTTTTTTTACCTCTTACACACCCTTTTAATTTTCAGTCGTCGGATCGTATGAATTGAAGAAGATCAACGAACAGAAATTAACAAAGAGTGTGTGAGAAGTAAAATATGGTGTGTGGATAGCACATCCCTTAACTTATAGATTATAGAAACCCATCATGCTTAATTTGGTCAAACTTGTCATACTTAATTGTTGCTGAAAAGTTCTAGGCAGAAATCACGATGCTTATAGACTAAAGAAGGAGATTTGTGTCGTATCCAGATTACGAAACATTGTTGGATGTGCATGTTTTTTCAATACTAATTACGGCCCTACGTGATTCACATTGATACATTGATACGTACAACATGCATGCAGGAACACCATAAAACTATTAGACGTAGCAATCCAAATGATGTGAAAAAGGAAGCTACATCGAATATCTTTATATATAAACCCAACAACTTATTTTGGGGTCACAAGCTTCACTAAAACTATTTAGACAAAAATACCTCCAAAACAAAAAACAAAAAAAGAATTAAAAAACAACCCAAAATAATGCAGGGGTATTTTTGTCTTTTTAACAGTGTTTTTTTTCTAATTAATTATTTTGTACAATTTTTTTTTAATTAGTACCTCACATTAGGCTAGCAATAATGTAATTCAATCGATTGTTCATTAAATATTGTTTTCTCTATTTTTAAACACGTTCAAAACATCGTAAGAGGCGTGTAATACCAGTTATAAAAAAAAGATCTTTTGCACACGTATAATAATGTGATTAAATTAATTGTCAAATAATTTTTTTTTTTTTTGAACAAACGATATATACACTAAGGGGAAGGGGTGGGCTTAGCCTTACAATGTGCTAGCAATCATGTGATTCAATCAGTTGTTTATTAAATATTATTTTCTCAATTCTTAATGTAAATTCAATAGAATGTAGATGAAAATTGAAAAATCGATTTTATTATATGAATTCAACTGCTTTGACGGGTTTGTGAGAGGTTTCTTTACCATAATCTAAGATTATTCATTTACTTCTAATATTTGACTTTCCTTTTGTCAATTCACACATATAAATACATTTAAAACTTGTAAGTTGCGCGTAACAAGCTGTGATTCAAAAAATGCCTCCTATATATACGTGAGCGCATGCATGAAGGCTAGTTTGCTATATATTGGTGATTGATTTGGGCTCCAAATGCGGCATGGCTCTGCTCTGGTACTTGCACTTTCCACCAAATCAAATAACAGAGAAAAGTATCACACGGCTATTCTTTATAGGTCCTCATCAAAGAAGCAGCAAATAAAGGATAATACTTAAGTACTCACCATTTTTTGTAGTTCCTTTTCTTATTCCGCCCACATCATCACTTAACGGTAAACTTAACAGATTTTATAACGGTTTTATGAAACTGACATAAACTTATACTAAATGTATAAGAATGAAATGTTTTGAAGATGTTGTATGAGGTTACAATTTGTTAGATCCCACATCGCCCAGGGGAGTGGATCCTCTATGCCTTATATGTACATGCCTACCTCCATTTAGCATGAGGCCTTTTGGGAGCTCCGTGGGTTCGGGTTCCATCGGAACTCCGAAGTTAAGCGAGTTCGAGCGAGAGCAATCCGAGGATGGGTGACTCACTGGGAAGTTCTCGTGTGAGTTCCCAAAATCAAAACCGTGAGGGCATGGTCGGGGCCCAAAGCGGACAATATTGTGCTACGACGGAGTCGAGCCCAGGTCGGGATGTGACACAATTACACTCTAACATGATGGGACCCTCAAATATGTGTTAAGATATCATTAGACAAAATCAAAATGTGTGTACTTGCTAATGAGTGCCTAGGTATTTTCCAACAATAAATATACTATCTAATATTAGTAGACCAACTGCCACTTAGCCCCTCATGTTCAGTGTTATATCTTCTATTAACTTTGACTAATGCTAGGTAGACCAAATTTTTAGACTAAATTTATAAGTCATATGATGTGTCCCTAATATAAAATAAACACGTTAATCAACACTTCAATAATAATTCAATTATCAACAATCGCATCATATAATTTACAGAATTTAATTTAAAAAGTTAATCTCCCTAACATTATACATTAACATTTTATCAACAACAAACACTAATTAAGGTCTTACCAGACATGATTTTGCTGGATGTGTTACTTGAGTCAAGCTAGACTTTATAAATAAGCCTTTAATTAAACATTAATAAAGGCTTGTAATCATGAGCCTTAGGGCTAGTTTGGTATTTGTGTGCTCTGAAAAAAAACTGCTTCTGCTATGCTGCAAGAATAAACAGCTATGAAATAAAGCAATAGAGTGTTTGGCAAAATTTTTTGTAAAAGTGTTTTTAGCAAAAAAAAAAAAAAAAAGCAATGTTAAAGTGTTTGGTAAATTTTTATGTAAAACCGC